ATTAAAAATTAAAAAAAAAGAAAAAATGCTCTATGAACAACTTAGTCTCAAATTTGTTAGGACATATACATAAGCAAGCTTCAGGGCTACTTCAGCATTCAACAGTTAACCAGTTAATTCAGGAGTTAACAATCTAAGATAAAAGACCATTTGGCAAACATCGTAAGTAACAATCATTTCAGTCAAGACTCATCAAGGGTGAAAATTTGGTGAGAACACAGGGTATTTCCATAGTTGTCAAGTGTCTCTCTATAAGACACTTCCTAACGTAACAACCCCTCTGGCGAGATGGGGGTAAGAAGTCACCGTAATGGAGAAAACAAGCAGACACCACTTCCAAGTGACCAAAGTTCAACATCACTGGTAAGTCACTGTGTGACTTCTGTTACGATGTGGAAAAGGACACAGTGTCTCTTCCGTGATATTCCTGCCCCAAACGCATAGTCTAAACCACATCATAAGAACACATTACACAAACTCAAAATGAGGGGCCATCGACAAAATAACCTGTACATTTATGTACGTCAAGGGCATGAAAGACAAGATCAAAGTAAGACTAAAGCGACGTGACACCCATGCCACGTATGGTCTTAGACCCTAGGACACTTACTTTCCCTCCTTCCCGAGAAAGGGCGTCACTGGGTGAAATGTGAATAAGGTCTGTAGATAGGTGACAGGATGGTGACAGGATGGAATCAGGGTCATTTCCTGAGTTTGATACTCATATTGTGATATAAGAGACTGTCCATGTTTTTAGAAAACATACACTGAAAAATTTAGGGATAAAACAGCATCAAGTCTGCAACTTACCCTTAAGTGGTACAGAAAAAACTGTATATACATAGCCATAGGGAAAAAATACATAAAGCAAACAGTAAAATGCTAACTTTGGAAAATCTAGATGAAGGGGAGATGCTACTTCCTTACACTGCTCTGTGACTTTTCAGAATAAAATGTTATTTATTTATTTATTTTTAAAGAATATGAGGGGCGCCTGGTGGCTCGGTCGGTTGAGCTGAGACTTCGGCTCGGGTCATGATCTCGCAGTTTGTAGGTTCAAGCCCCACGCTGGGCTCTGTGCTAACAGCTCAGAGCCTGGAGCCTGCTTCAGATTCTGTGTCTCCCTCTCTCTGCCCCTCCCCTGCTCGGGCTCTGTCTCTGTTTCTCAATAACAAATAAATGTTAAAAAAAATTTTTTTTAATAAAAAAATAAAAAATAAAAAATAAAAAAAGGAACATGAGGTCTTTGGGAAAGATTATTCCCATATTTTAAATCTAAACTCACAACTTTAAAAGCCCCTTCTACTTGTGAAATGAAGATCGGTCCTTATGCCCTAAATATTGAGGATTCAGGGTTATAATCCTTATGTGACAATGCGGGTCTGGGGGGAGGTGGGAGACAAAATTAAAATAATTAAATCAAGCCAGTTCCATTCATTCAACATTTCTGGCACTTATCACCTGACAGGCACTGTACTAGGTCCTGGGGCAGAAAATGCAAAGAAGTCTGGCATCTGTCTTCTTGGAGCTGACAGTTAGGGGGTGAACTTTATGTTAAATAAGAAATAATTGTGCTGGTTGTTATCATGGCAAAACTGCACTTCAGCCTAGTCTCCGCAGCCAGGAAAGTCTAAGAGGGTAAGAAGACAAATGCATATGCAGTAAGAACAAAATGTTTTAGCCTCAACATCTAGAATGCTACATCTACAACCTACTTTTCTTCTCCCTCTACTGACTTGTAGCCATTTGTAACCCTAACCTTCTTTTTTAAATCTTTTTTTTTTTTTTAATTTTTTTTTTTTCAACGTTTATTTATTTTTGGGACAGAGAGAGACAGAGCATGAACGGGGGAGGGGCAGAGAGAGGGAGACACAGAATCGGAAACAGGCTCCAGGCTCTGAGCCATCAGCCCAGAGCCCGACGCGGGGCTCGAACTCACGGACCGCGAGATCGTGACCTGGCTGAAGTCGGACGCCAACCGACTGCGCCACCCAGGCGCCCCTTAAATCTTTTTTTAATGTTTATTTTTGAGAGAGAGAGAAAGACACAGACAGGGCGTGAGCATGGGAGGGGCAGAGAGAGAGGGAGACACAGAATCCGAAGCAGGCTCCAGGCTCCGAGCTGTCAGCACAGAACCCGACGTGGGGCTCGAACTCACGAGCCTTCAAGCTGTGAGATCATGACCTGAGCTGAAGTCGGCTGCTTAACCTACTGAGCCACCCAGGCACCCCTATAACCCTAAACTTTTATAAATCCTCTTCCACCCAAGATGTTAACCTCCTACTGCTGACCACTTTGGGGATGTGGCAGTAATCAAGGAGATGATTGATAACAGAATGCTAGTGGAAATCTTTTCCTGAAGGAAGGAAGGAAGGAAGGAAGGAAGGAAGGAAGGAAGGAAGGAAAGAGCAGAAAGAATCACCAAATCCTGTTCCTCTCTGAAAGCTGCCTGCTCAGGGGCTGGTGAAACAATCACTGACAGTAACCAGGCATCAAACCAAAGTTCTGTCACCTTACTGCAAACACTGCTTCTGAGCCTTGGTTAACACACCTCTCAAACAAGGGGTTTAAATAATCTCTAAAACCTTTGCCCTAA